GGATGAGTGGCTGGAAAGCTGCCTAAGGGAAAAGGACCTTCAGGTATTGGTCGACCGCCAGCTGAATGTGAGCCAGCAGTGTGCCCAGGTGGCCAAGAAGGTCACCAGCGTCCTGGCCTCCATCAGGAACAGTGTGGCCAACAGGACTAGGGAGGTGATTGGCCCCACGTACTCTGCACTCGTGAGACTGCAGCTCAAATACTGTGTTCAGTTTTGGACCCTTCACTACAAGAAGGACATTGAGGTGCTGGAGCATGTCCAGAGAAGGGCAATGAAGCTGGGGAAGGGTCTGGAGAACAAGTTCTGTGGGGAGCATCTGAGGGAGCTGGGTTTGTTTAGCCTGGAGAAGAGGAAGCTCAGGAGGAGACCGTATTGCTCTCTATAGTCACCTGAAAGGAAGTTGTAGTGAGGTGGGCGTTAGTCTCCTCTCCCAAGTGACAGGTCAAAGGGCAAGAGGAAGTGGCCTCAAATTGTCATAGAGGAGGTTTAGATTGGATATTTGGAAAAATTTCTTCATTGAAACAGTTGTCAGGTACTGGAACAGGCTGCCCAGGGAGGTGGTTGAGTCACCATATTTAAGAGAACAGCATGGGGTGCTTAAGGACATGGTTTAGTGGTGGTCTTGGCAGAGTTGGGTTAAAAGTTGGGTTTGATGATCTTAAAGGTCTTTTCCAACCTAAAAGATACTATGACTCTCTGCAGACACCAGCTGACCAGACAGTCTGCTCAAGTGAGAGTACATAGCTCTATAATGGTTGTGATGTCGTCATCTAAACATGATGATGCTACAGTGCATGTAAAACATTAAACTCCTGTGAGAAGTCATCAGGTTGCAAAGATGGCCTATTTAAGTGAGGTGATATAGTGGGTATTGGGTAAGGAAGAAGATAGTAGCTTTGCAAAAAATGCACTTCAGTGTTAGTATTTAATGCTTTAACTATCTGGAAGCCAGTGCATCTATCTAGCTGCTAGGACAGGGTCATTTAAAAGGTGATATAAACTTATTTTTTGCCCTGCCTACTTACAGAATTGCTGAACAGTGCTGTTGTGTGGATGGGGATTTCATGCTGGACCTGGGAATGTTAAAAAAATCATTGATGTCTGTATAGCTTAGAGAGTACACATATTAAGAGCTACTACTAAATGCAGTTATTGTGTTTATATTTGTCACATTCATCTTATTCATCTCTGTGCTTTCAGCAGTGCCTGTAAGTAGTCTCCTGCTTAAATAACTTCAACACAGAATGAAAATGCAATGCACAGAGATTTGTAATATATGGTGTAAAAAGCTTATCAGAAATGCTATTATTGAGAGGATTAAACTCCCAGCTAACATGTGAAACAAAGCTGTTTTGGCTGCAGCTGTTTAAAAAAAAAAAAAAAAGGCTATTTCTTTGAAGCCGTCAGTGGTTCAGAAAAGCTAAATAACACATTTCCCATAGAGAGAATGTTGTAATGAATAAATCCTGAAATGTACAGTGTAGCTATACATTTCAGCTATTACAGTAACAGAATGATGCACTGAATAAATTTGGTCATTTGTTTTAGCCACATAAACAAAGTTTTTGTTGTAATGTTCAGATTTTTGACAAAAATATATACATATTTCGGTTAGTTAAAGATTAGACTGTCTGTCCTTTTGTCACAAGTTTGTGCAAAAAATTTACCCAGAGTCACTGTATCAAATTTTACCCTCTCCCCAGACAAACTAAACACTGCTTTTAGAATTTGGGTTTGTAACCTGTATATTACCAGTATAATGAAGTGTTAAATTTTTCTTCTTGCATTTTTTTAGGTCTTTCAAGTTGCATATGTCATCATCAAAGCTGCAAATGCTCCACGACCTGGAAACTGGATTTTGGAACGTTCCATAGATGGCACAGAGTTCAGACCATGGCAGTACTATGCAATTAGCGATACCGAATGTTTAACTCGTTATAATATTACGCCTAGAATTGGACCACCAACTTACAAGAGAGATGATGAAGTGATTTGCACCTCCTATTATTCCAGACTTGTTCCCCTGGAGCATGGAGAGGTATATTTGTTTTTGGTGGTGGTGTTTGTGAGTAAGAACATGGACTAATAGCTATTTGAAAACATTTGGGTTACAGTTACAGAGTTCATCGCCCTCAGCACTATCAGATGATCTGTTATTATTCTTTAATGATATTGTCTTTACATCATGTACCAGTATAACAAACTTTTAAATGTTGGGATGAAACATGTCTCTGTCTCTGCATATTCCCATTACTAAACTCTTTGTTCTCTCCCTCCACGTAATTTGATGTTAGCTATTAGCTGTGAATTATTAGTTGCTTTATCCTGAAAGAATATAACAGAGGCTCTATCTTTTGCCAAGTTTTTCATTTAATAAAGAAACTCCCTGTTTTAGGTAACACCTGGTTGTGTGAGATAAAGCTGCAAACACTGAAGTGCTCAGCACAGCTGGAAGTCCTAAACAAGCCTTGGCATTGTTTCAGGGATGTAGCGTAATTAAAAGACCTATGAGTTGTGCAGCCTCACTGTTGGTTGTTCTTTCTTTTAACAAACTCTATTCATGGTACTTGTGTAATTTATTACTTTGAGGCAGCCACATAATGAAAAGATACATTAAAACCAGCAGTTATTCTATTGTGAATGCTATAATGTAAGAATGTGATAATAAATGCAGCGTTATCCCGTAGAGCATGCTAATAACTCTTGGCTTAATAGAAGCCAATATATTTTATTTCTCGGTTAAAAAAAGACTGGAATGTAAGCAGATAAGAACTAAAGTGTGTCAAACTTCTTCACATAAACTTACAACTATGTTTCAGCAAGAAAAAACAATGACATTCAGTAACATCAAGTCCCATTCATTTAAATCAAGTGTTTATGGCAGTGACGTAAGTATATGCCCCACAGATCAGATAGAACAAAGAAACTTAAGCTGTCTCTCCACACAATTAACCAGAAAGCCTTTAGGTTGGCTGTACCAATGGTGCTTCTTGAAATGTATGCCTGACAGGCCATATAACTCCAAACCCAGGAGTGCCAGAGATTGAGTTTAATGACATGTTTTTCTCATTTATTTTTCCTGATGTACACAGAATTGATTGGGTAATACTATCCAGAATATTGCTTTTTTTTTTTTTGGTGGTGCAGTAACTTAAAACTTAAGAACATAGCAATTTAATTCTGTCATTTTTTATGTACTGCATAAAGCTGTCATTCACAAAGGACAGGCTGCTCCTTCATAGCTGGAATGGCAGACAGACAGAAATATTCCTTGCACAGAGTATCTCACAACCTGTACTAGGGAATCTTGGCACCCTTTTGAAAATACATATATTTACTGCTTTGTAATTGGTTCTGACCAACCTATTGAACTTAAGTATGGGGCTACAGGAAGTCCTGCAGACCATGTGATCTGCACAATCACCTGCCTTGCATCCAGCATTTGTTAGCATCCCAGTGTTCTGCAGTCAGCTTGTAGTGCCCTGGTGTAAAAGAACTGGTAGGGTAAAAGGACTACATGCTTAAATGTGGATGTCACTTAACATTTTTTACCAAATAAGACATTTTGCCAGTTTGACTAGTAGATTTTTCCCGGGTTTGGAGAGTTATATCTGCTACACCATAAGCTCTGTTTACTGGATTTATACTGCTTGAAGATCTGCTTCCAGAAATTTGCATAATTAAGTCAGGGCTGATGATGAATTCCAAGGCTTAAAGTACAGTTGTTTGGAAATGGTCTTTAATTATGGTCTTTAATTAAGTCAAAAATACATAATAGAAATATATCAGTGTATAAACCATATATAAGCAATGTATTAGCCAAATATAGCAGTGTACATGGAGAATCATTCTTTTTCTTCCTTAGTGTTTTACTATCTACTGTTTCTTCCTTTTCATGCTAGGAAAGATTCCTGTTGTGTCTCTGTAGAAATTATAGTGTATTATTACAGAATTTCTACTGGTCAAGACAGTAGATTTCCCTCTCCCCCCACCCCCCCCTCGTGGAAGCAGTGCAGTGATATTTGAATATTTGGCCAGCAATTCTGTCTTCTAAGCACAGAGTGAGATGGGGTGGACGTGTTCAGTATTCAGTTACATAAAACATGAGTACAAGGAGGAATAATCTGTTCTGCGTGTCTATGACTGAATGGAAGAAGTGCCCTGAAACTGCAACAAGGAAAACATGGTTTAGAGATTAGGAGCATTTCTAACAAAGCCGGAAAGGGCTGGAATAAATTGTCTTGGAGGATTGCAGGGTTACCACGAACAGTGGTCTTCAAGAACAGATTGGTCAAACACCCAACAGGAGTCTAGTAAATCCTGCTTTGGGGTTGGGAATGGCCTAGAAGAATTCTCTGTGTTTGTATGCGAGCTAGATATCCTAGAAAGTGGTGTTAATTTGCAGGATTAGACCTGGAAAAAGTTTGGATTTCAGAACTGTTATTCTGTGGTTAGAAAATGGATGATGGTTACTTTCTGAATGGGCTGTCAGACAAGTGAAATTTTTTTGAACACAATATATTGGAATGTTCAGAAGAAATGGTGATAGCCTATAAATAGCAAAATTATAATGTTGGGAGTGTGAACTCCATTACCAGTCTCTGTTTGTATGTTTTTGAAATAACACAATGACTGTCTAGGAAGCCCCTAGCTCCACTACAGAATTAAGAGTTAAAAAAACCCCAAACAAACAAACAAAAAAAGCCCCCACAAAAAACCACAAGCAAACAAAAACCCCCCACCAAAACAAACCAAAAACAACCAACCAAAAAAAAAAACCCACAAAAAACCCACTTTAATATTTAGAAATATTTTCAGAGGAAAAATTTGACAATACTGGACAAAGTTGAAACTAAATTTGAGTAATATACAAGACAAAATTACTCTTCATAAATGAGGATATGTCATGCACTCTGAAATATAGGTGAGAAGCCCCAGGCATAACCTCTTATTTGTTGTGGACACCAAGTAAACTGTTTAACATTTGACTGTGGCCTGTAGGGTCTCATTTTTCAGTTTCTTCCATAAAATGGAGAAGGAACTGCATGGTCATATGAGACTAAGTCCTTGTGTGCTACTAAGTCACTTCGGAAAGAAGGAAGGGGCTGTTGCCAGAATCAGTTGTGCAGTTTGATACCAAAAAACAGCTTAGTGAGGCCTAGTGAGCTTAGAGGGATTGTGTGAGAAAGATGGAGGCCAGATGGGTTGGTTTGTGGTGGCAGCCCCTTGCTTTCAATTGTCATCCCTGTTGTGGCTTCCTACTGTGCTCTCATATCCTGAGTATTCCTTGTTGATTGGATAGGCCTGTCCCAGCAAGGCATAGGATTAATGTCTTCAGACTGAGCATGTGCGCCATATTAGGTTTTGCAGTAAGATCTTCACAAACTGTGGAGGAAACATCTGTAGGGACAAAAATATGCTGATGGTCCGGATATACATGTTCCATCTCAATAAGGGAGAGGAAGGAAGATCAGGGGAGCTAAGGACTAGCTTGTGGAACTGTTTTTCTCTTTATGCTATCTCAGCAAAGTCCGGGAGACGAGGCCATGATGAGCTGAGAGTGGTGGTTTCAGAACTGCTTGAGTCAGGAAGCAGGAATTCTACCTGCACATAGAGAATGAGGGAGAAAAAAATAGAAAGCTTGTCTTCCAACAAATTAGGATGGTGAGATGTTAAACTATCTGGAATTTTTCTAACACTCACACTAAAATGTTTGCTGTTGTAAATGTATCACAATTCTGTTTATGATTAAGCCTGTCCCTCTTTGTAGATTCACACGTCACTGATCAACGGTAGGCCTAGTGCTGATGATCCTTCACAAAAGCTACTGGAGTTTACTTCTGCACGATACATCCGCCTGCGACTGCAGCGTATTAGAACCCTTAATGCTGACCTTATGACTCTGAGCCATAATGATCCTAAAGAGTTAGACCCCATTGTTACCAGAAGGGTAAGCATGTTGTTCATAAATGGTATTCAGTGTGATTCCATGCAAGAGCCTTTTCTGATCTATTTCTGGAGGAAGTACTGGATCCTTGCCATTCAAAATCAGAATTATTTTGATAGGATGTTAAATAATTCTTGCCTTCCCTTTGATGTTATTAACAACAATACCTTGTCTGAAACAACTGTAAAAAACCCCGCTTTTTAGGGATTGTTTTTTATTTGTTGGCTTTTTGTTTTATTTGTTTGTGAAAATGATTTATGCTAGGAACAATGTTTATGATGCATTATAAGCAAAGTAAAAAATATGATTTGGCTGATGGAAATGTCACCTCAGCTTGTTCTTCATGAAACTGCAGTATCTCTTCTGGTATATCAAGAATTTCAGGACCCAGTGCTCCAATTCATAAAAATATTTTTTTTAAGGGCTTACCATTATGAGTTTTGATGTCTGATGAGAGTTTTTTTTCGTTTGTTTGTTTGTTTTTTTAAAGCTGTTGTAATAAATTGTTTTAAAGCCCATGAATTAATAATAATGCAAAACACTCGAATTCTGGAAAGTATTAACTGATCTTTACACATTTGATATTGAACCTGGGGAAACTGAGGAACTAAGTACCTTAGCCTGATTTCTTCAAGCTCTCACAGAAAATCGTGTTGGAGCCTCTTATAACAGTACCTACCACGTCTGACTTTTCTGCATTATTTCTGCATTGTGTTTTGCTATTTTATAGAATCATAGAAT